CTTACAACAGGGCCCGGCACGTAACTAGTCCTCGGTAAGTGGTAAATGTTATTATTGCTGCTGATATCGGGGCATCTCAGGCATCACTGGGTGTCTGGCACGGGCCTGCTCTTCCAGAAGCCAGACAAGAACTGGAATTCAAGTTCAGGGCTTGAGGCGCATGGAGGTGAGTCATGACTGTTGGGTTCCAGGCGCGTGACTCCAGCAGGCCTGGCTCCCCACCCCCGCAGGGCCTTGTTACCCCTGCATCCGCTCCCTCACGTGGGCAGACGCAGTGAAGATCTGGAGTGAGGTCAACCGTTCTGGACGGCTGTTGGCCCCACCCTGGGATCCGAGGCTGCTCCCCACAGGACTGGCCCTTCCTCAGCCGTTCCAGGCTGCCCCCTCCCTGCCAGCACTGCCTGCCCACCCACCCTTGGGGGGGTTCCTCCTTGCTCATTGTTGGTCACCCCAGATTCCGATCTCCAGACTCATCAGCTTGGATGAGAGCCTTTGGCCGCCCACCCTCTGAGCTTCAGACAGAACTTAGCCCATGAAACAGATGTTTTCTGCTTGCTCTTCTCACAGGAAGAAACGGAGTACAGACTCTACTCATTTTGTCTACCCTGATGGTTTCCACAATTAAGAATATTTACCTCCTGAGCTAAGTTTTGCCTGGCGGTACCACCAGGCTTTTCCTGCAGGGTAGGGGCAGGGGCCCCTGAGTGGAATGAGCACAGAATGGGGGTCAAGATACTCCATCACTTACTGTAGGACCTTAAGCAAGTCACAGCCTGTGTGAGCCACGGTTTTGTCATCTGCAAAAGGGGGAATGACGCCTTCCAGTTTGGTCTCACCCACTGCCTTGAATGCAGCAGCACTGCCCGGAGCCACCCAGCCCAGGGCATCAAGGCAGGCCCAAGGCAGCTCAGCTTGTCCTCACTCCATCCTATGTTCATCCGCGTCTCTTGTGACTCTGTGTCTGTCTAGAGCGTTTCCTCACCCACAGACTTGCTGCTTCTCAGGCTTCTCAGGACTCTCACCTTCTCTCCTTGTGGTGGTCGCCTTGGGTGCTCCACCGGGTCCTCCTCACAAGCAGGGGTGCCTGTCCCCAGCTCCCGTGCATGCTGGCTGCCGACGGCTCAGTTGTGCTCCTCTCTGGAAACCTTCCCTGAGCCAGTGGGAGTCCCTTCATCCCAAGATGCCCAGGAAATTACTAACTATCCCCCTCCACCTGGTGTTGGCCCACAGCCAGTGATGGACAGATTCAGGGTACAAAAGCCCAGCCCCCTTCTTTAAGGAGGGTCTGCGGGGAGGTGAATCATGAGTGTGGGGCTCCAGTCTGCGGGGCCACATACATGCCAGAGCTCCAGTTCAGAATTCCCGGGAGAGAAAGAACAAGAGCTGTATTTCCTCCCAAGACACCCCACTTCTTCCCTCCCTGAAGGCAGGTTGGGGCTGAAGAGAAAGCATGAGCTGTGAACAGAAAGGCAGAACTGGGGCTGAATCCTGGCTTGAGCAGCTATCAGTGGCATGATGTAGGTAATCTGCTATACTTTTCTAGGCTTTAGTTTCCTTCTTTATAGGATGTGGGTCATAATTCCCACTTTGTAGCACTGATGTGAGGATTTAAGAGCACCAGCAAAACCCCTTGCATGGTTCCTGGTGCACAGAATGACCCTGTAGACTTGTCTGCCTCCTTCCCTTCCCTCCTAGGCGGAGAAACACCAAGAGGGCAGCTGGTGGTGGAGGCCAGGGCAGCTGGTGCAGGAACCATGCCCTCTTTGGCTCGAGTAATGGCCGACTGTGGCCCAGCAGAAATGTCATCAGCCCAGTTGCATGTTGCTGCATGTCCGTGTGCACTAGTGGCCTCATAACCCTGACTTGGGCTCAGTTCGGGAATCAAACCACCTGGAAATGAAAACCAAAGCCAACTTTGGATCCTCAGCTTTTGGTTTGGAGGCCATCTTGTCTGAGCATTGGCCTGCCAAGAAGCCTGTGGGCCATGAGTGGCTTGCAAGGATTTCTGGTGGACTTCTTTATGTGGCCACAAACCTCTAGCTCACACCACTGGGCCATCTGCCCCCAGCAGCCTCAGGCCATCAATCAGTAAACCCCAAGCCAAGGCAGCAAAGGCAACAAGAAAAATGGCCACTCCATTCAGTCGCGAGGCTTCCCTAGTAAGCACCAAGCTTCCAGCCAACATCTCAATATTCCTGACTTCAAGCAAGATGGGCAATTAGGTGAGGGGACTGGTAGGTACAGTGGATGGCATAAGGGGATTTGGAGGCCAGAGGACCTGGGTTTGGATTCAGTTCTTCTACTTAGCTGTGGAAACTGAGCAAATTACTGAACCTCAGAACCTGGGTATCTTCATATTTATGAGAGAATAATTCCTTCCCTCTAGGGTTTTAGTGGAAATTAAATGCAAGTAATGCACGTGAACTTGTTGAGTCCAGTTTTTGACCTAATCAAGGCAGTAATAAAGGACTGAGATCATTTCCCACCCCAGGGATCAGATTTTTCTGTTCAATTTTTCCATTACACCAACCATCTCAGTAGTACCAATGAGCTCTTGTTTTTAAAAGTTTTATCCTCTTGGAGAAAAAGGTCTCCAAAGACGTGCTGGTTAGTCCAGTGGCCTTGAGGCTGGACTCGCCCATTGCTCTGGCCAGATTATGTGCAAAGGGCTCCCTACACTCATCTTGTTGACAGACTCAAGACCACTTGCGTTACTTCTGGAATAAACAAGACAATCAAGCAAAAACACTCACTCGCCTCCTCGTACCAAATATCCTCATCCGTTCACTTATATTTAATCCACATTTGCTGGTACATGGAATTGGATTGTGTGCACTCAAGTCAGCTCTAGGAACGTCTTAAATATTTGCTCCAGAGTTCCGGCCCCTGCGTTCCCTTCTGGTCCTAGTCTTTCCCAGCTCTACTTCATTGTGTTTTGGTCGTTACCAAATTCATCCCAGTTAAGCTGAAGGTTAGGGAGAGAAAGGACTAGTTAGACATATGGTTCAAATGCATCAATTAATCCGCTGGTTTTCAAACTTAGCTGTCCATTAGAATCACCTGTGGAGCTTTTAAGATTTCCCAGATGCCCAAGTGCACTTCAGATCAATTAAACCAGGATTTCTGGGCATGGGGATCAGGCAGAATATTAAGTTTGAGCCAAGTGACTTAGTTGCTGTTACTAACGTTCCTGAGTCAGTATGGTCTACCATGTTCTGTAAGTTCCCCATGCATCCCACTTTATAACAGTCCACGTGGAGTCAGGCACATAGCCAGTGCTTCAGATGACGATGGAATACCTCAATCTGTTCCTGATTAACTTCCAGAATTGGAATATGGTGGCTATTCCAGGATCACACATATGTCCCAAAGTCATACATGACAAACATTTTATTCCATTAAAAAAAGTCATCTGTTAACTGCTGAAGTGCAGGGGACCACATCTGAGGCTACTTCAGAAAAAGGCATCAGAGAACGAATACAGATTTTCAGTGTCACAGAATGGCTAGATTCTCCTCCTCCTCCCCCTATTAAATAGTAATCAGTGGCTTAGGCCAATTCTGGTAAGAGCACCTGATAGCTGACTTCACAGAAACCCAGGATCACCCTAATATACAATGACACAGGGTCTCCCTGGCAGCCAACTGCTGTGGCTCAAGCACAGGAGGAGATGCCTGGGTGGCATCAGTCCCACCCCCTGCGGTGGACTTGCTCTTCCTAATGACTGGCTCTGGGGGCCACATCCATGGCGGCATCACCATCTGCGGCGCACATGAGCAGACTCCCTGTTGAGCTGCAGCGGGCTCCGAGATTGGTTCCATCCGAGGCTGGAACCAGCTCCGTTCCGCTTCACTTCACAGCAAATTTTACACCCTGAGGGAGTGGTTAGGAAGCGCCGCTCACCACTCACAGTGGGAAGTGGTACTTCGTCCAAGAGCCTGAGTACCAGGATCAGAGAAGGCCCGGCAGGCAAGTCCAGCTGGGCTGGGGTGGAAACAGCCTGCACAGCAGGGCTGAGAAGTGGTGGGAGTGCTGGCAGCCAGACTAGCCCTGCTTGCCTTTTGATTCCGAGCAACTTCTTTTTTTTTGGCTGCGCCAGCCCACAAGATCTTAGTTCTCTGACCAGGGATCGAACCCGGGCCCACGGCAGTGAAAGCGCTGAGTCCTAACCGCTGGGCCTCCAGGGAATTCCCCCGAGCAACTTCTGAAGACCCCAGTGTCCACTCCGCATATGGATATTTGGACACGACCCAAAAGGCTTCTCCATCTAGCCTGAAGGCGGGAGACAATCCACCACAATGCTGAGGCTCTGTAACCTGTTCAACAGTGACTGCCCACGCTGCTCCTCAGCCCCTGTGCCTCCTCAGTTTAGCCTTATGTTCCTAACACCTGCCTAAGGCAGTGCAATGTCTGGGGTCCAGAAGCTCCCAGGCTGCTCGAGAGGCTTCGTGCTCATCCTCACTTGCTCTTCAATTCACCTTCTCGCTCCCACCCAGCTGAATCTCTGGTGGCTTCCTATGGGGCTAGATGCTTCCTCCACCCTGCAATGGTGGAGGAAGGTACTGGGTCCCCACCCCGCTTCACTCATATTTCTCCTCTGCCTCCACCCACCTTCACCCCTGCACAGGCCACACCTCAGAGGCACCCTGTTGATGCCAGCCCGTCAGAGTGCAAAGGCAGACATTCAAGACATTGGGCTTGGGGCTTGGTGGCGCAGTGGTTAAGAATCCGCCTGCCAATGCAGGGGACACGGGTTTGAGCCCTGGTCCAGGAAGATTCCCACATGCTGCAGAGCAACTAAGCCTGTGTGCCACAACTACTGAGCTTGCACTCTAGAGCCCGTGAGCCACAACTACTGAGCCCGCATGCCACAACTACTGAAGCCTGCACGCCTAAAGCCCGCGCTCCACAACAAGAGAAGCCACGACAAAGAGAAGCCCGCGTACTGCAACGAAGGCCCAACGCAGCCATAAATAAATAAATAAATAATAAATAAATAAATAAATAAATAAATAAAAAAAATTTATGTATATATATAAAAAAGACATTTGTTTTTTTCCTGTCTCTGGGCCCCAGACTCCTTCCTTCATCCCAGGCCTGGAGGAGGTGCCTCAAGCCCTCGTGGTAGCCGCAGCATCCCTTTAGTCACTCCTGCACCAGGAAGTTGATGAGGGCGGTTCGGGGGGAGAGGAAGGCCTTCTTGATGCTTCGCCCCTGCAAGAGCCTGACACCCAGTTCACTTTGGAGAACCAGTTCGTGGACTTTGTCCTGGTCCTGGGCAACTTGTTGGGGCACAGGGATTTTGCCGCAGGCTTTGTTGTTGATCTGAGAAGGTGAAAAGCCAAGACAAACAATGAGCAAAGTCCTGAGAGTGGCAGGCAGCCAGACATCAATACCCACTGCCCCTCAAGGGTACTGCTGCCTCTGTGTGGGGAAGGAGTACGGGAAAAGAGAAAGAAAGGCAGCACCCAGCTTCCCGGAAGAACAAAGCGCACTTAGATGGGTAGGATTAACGCCCGAACGCTTTGGATAAGGAGAGGGAGAGGGCGCCACCCTGTATTTCCTGAGTGTTGCCCGTCACAGCTGTGGTGGAAACTATGTCAAAAATCCTCAGCATGAGATGGCTTAGGCTGTATCCGGGGGTAGAGGGATTATTGTGTTACTGAAGCTCAAATCAAGTTCAGATCTGGCTACAGGGGGTGTCACCGAGGATTTACATAGATCTCACGTGGACTAATTTCTGGGGCGTGTAGGCAACCTCCCTCCCTGATGACTGGCTCCAGAAGGGGGCGCTCAAGTTTGACCACCTGGAAGCTGGACCTACATCACACACAACTCTTGCCTAAAATGGGCCAGTATAGTTCTAGCCGTAGTGGTATTCACTGAATATTAGTTTCATAAGGATAAACTTCACATCAAATATGAACTGATACTGCCACCGAGGAAAGCGACACATGACCCAAATAGCTTCTGAACTGCTGTGCTTCAATTCCTCCATCCCATCGCTCCTGTAAGAACGCTTACGTTTTTTTCACGAATGCTCCTGTTTTTAACTTGGAAAATAAAGTCACTGTGTTATGAAAAATTACCAGGAAGAACTTCTGAAGTTTCAACCCAAGCACATTATCCAGGATCCCTTAATCACCCACCTCATCTCTTCAGATTTCTGTAGAATTTAGTGGCATTTTTATGGGCTGCATTAGCCTAGATCACTGCGTGGGAGACAAGTAAGACATCACCTCAAACAGTGGCTGCTTGACTTCAGAAAGGTCTCCTTTCTGAATTGGTGGCCTTACAAGCTTCCGCCCCTCCAGCTTTGCCACCGCCACTTCATCGCTCAGCCTTGGTCCGGGCCTCTGCATTGTTCTCTTGGACTTTTCCAACAGCTGCCTGGAGGGCCGCTGGCCACGAGCACTATCCACCCGCCCCATCCACCACTACTCACGGACAGGAGCCCTGCAATGGCTAATGACAATAAAAGCTCACGTTGTCTGAGCTCTCACTCTGTGCCAGGCACTGTGCTCCACAATCCACCTGAGTGAACCTGTTTATCCCCACCACAAGCCTGTGAGGTAGGTCACAGCCGTTCCATCCCCGATTCACAGAGGGCAAAGCTAAGGGATAGGAGGCGAAGCCACTTACCCAAGGCCCCTTTCCAGCAAGTGGTGGAGACGGGATGACCCCATGGACCCTCTCTCTTCCCTGCCAGCCCCCAACCTCTCGGGATGGAGTCTGGCCTTCTCTCCAGTGCTGCCCTGCCTCTGCCTCTGTTCCACCCCCTCCATGGCTCACGGTCCAGTGAGGACTTACCCCGCCTTTGCTCCTTTCTCCACTAGGGAAATACTGCTCCTCTTTCAAAGCCAAGGTCCACATCCCCTTCCTTGGATGCCTCCTCCAATCCCCCAACTGCCAGAGGCAGCGATGCTGATGCTAGCAGCATTTAATATTTACTGAGTGAGTTATTAAGCCCTGTTCTGCCACTGTTTCCTCACTTGTGAGATGGGGTTAGGCACGTATCTGCCTTGTCTGTGAAATGGGGAAAACAGCGGGGTCTGCTTCACAGGGCTGTTGTGCGGGGTTAATGAGTTAGTATCTGGAAAGTTCTTAGTCGGTACTCACTGCGTGTTAGTGGCTTTTGTCATTAGTGTGTCCAGAAGCAGGCTAAGTACCTCCTGGCATTATCCCATCTAATTCTTTCAACAACCAGGTAAGGCAGGCCCTGTGTTTTCTAACTGAGGAAACTGAGGCTTAGAGAAATTAAGTATTTTGCAAAACTGAGATGGTCCAACCCCCAAGCTCTTACATCTTAACCTGGAGGCTACACAAACTCTCGGTGTGCATGACAGTGCGTGTGCCTCCCCAGACTGTCCCTCCTGGGTGCTGGGCTCCATGAAGACGATGTAGTGCCTCTGGCCTCAGAGCACATGGGCACGGCTGAACTGAATTACACCGAGTTACGCTGTTCTGTGTTGCAACTTCTATTTCTGGCCATGGCACCAAGTGAGATCACGTGGAGACAGAACACAGACCTTGACAGAAGTCCTGCCACATGGCACAGTGCCCCACCCCAGAGGTTCTTGAGTTTGGTGTACTTGCAGGGAGTCCTCCACACATTTTAAATCTTGGATTTTTATTTCAATGGTAATCTGAAATTATTTTACCAATTATCAAAACTAAATTTCTTTTCTTCAGTGGTAATTTAAAATGGAAAGACAAAAAAAATAAATAAATAAAATGGAAAGACATTTTCACAGATTAAAACTCCAGAGTCTCAGGCTGGTATTTCTCAGTTGCGCTGAGGATGAGTTCTTAGGGGTACACAGATAGTTATTTCTTAGAAACATTATTCAAGTTAAAGAAATTGCCTCTCTGTGCCACAGGCTGGTTTCGGTTTTGAGGATTTTGAGAAGAAGCCTAGCAGGGCAGCCCCCCTCCTCCCCTCCATGGGGGGGCGAATTGGAGGCAGTGAGGAACTAAGTGTCGGGGAGGTGGTATGGAGACAGAGCATCTGTGAAGGACCCAGTCTCCTGGGGGCAACTGTCTTTCCCAACATGGATCTGCCCGCAGGGCCCAGGGTTTGCAGACGAAGCAGGTGGGGCCTGGCAGGCCCGGCTCCTGTTCAGCCCCTGGGTGATTATTTTGTGGTACTTTCCATAGTTTGCAATTATTTTGTTTATTTTTCTCTTTCCTTCTTCTTTTCCCCTATCTTTCGCACCAGGCTTTAAGCTCCGTGAGGGCAGGGACCCTGTTTTTTGCATTTCGGTTTGTGTCCCCAGAGCCTAGCACTGTGCCTGATGTATTGATAGCATAGGTAACTTGACAATGACTGAGGAATAAACAAATAAACGTGGGCAAGGTGACGAGCTTCTCTGAGCCTGTGTCCTCAGCTGAAAAAAATGGGAACAGCTAAGCCTATCTTTTAGGGTGGTGAGAGTTAAATTAAACTTGGGATGTAAGTTAGCTGGCCCACGTGTGGTTCAGACTAAAAGGTTCACCCCTTGTTTTCTTTCCCTCTTCAGCCACATCAGCATATTTAAGAGATATTCCTCATAATGGGTCTCAGATTAAACAAATTAAATACATAAAAATTACATAAGGATAAACTATAGGAGAGTTATTTGCTCTATAATCAACTACTTTTATGTATTTAAAATGATGCAATTTACCAAAAAATAAATTTCATGTAGCCTTTCTGAAATATATTTTGCAGCGCGAGGTGTTCCTTGCCCACCTCCTCACCATCACTCTACCCCCTCCAAGAGCCCAGAGCAGCTGAATGAAACTTAGAGAGATTGAAACACATTTGGAAAGGAAGACAATTAGAACCTATAATGCAGGACAAGTTGATACTTTCCACTTTCTGGCCACAAGTTTTATGCTCACAAGCTTTTGGTATGTGGTAACTTCAAAACTGAAGGTGCTGGCAAAGGAAGACAGGCTGGAGGGTTGGGCGGAGAGCTGAGTGGGCTAGAAAGGCCTGGCGAGAAACTTCCAAACCCATCTGTGTGTGTGTGGCCGATTCACCTTGGCCCTGGGGGCTGCAGGAGACACTCACCAGAACCGCCATCTGTACAACATCGGGCTGCTGGAGGAACTGTGGGTCCACAGCTGGCCAGGCTTGAAGCAGCACACTGGTGTCCCAGGCGTAGTGAGTACACAGCTTCCTTGGCACCAGCGCCAGGCCTGCAACGCCAAGGCAGAGAGTCACTGAGCACGTACGAGGCCCTTGGGAGCACTAATAAAGCGTTTGCCCTGACACAGCCTGGCTTGGAGCCGTCTGAGGCCCCAGGAGGCCACACCATGGCTTTCCACAGCCTACCAGGTGCCCCCTACTTCCTTCAGCCTGGCTCATCATCCCAGCTTATAGGTAGCTTTTTCTTTTTTTTCAAACAACACCCAGAGCCATAACGATGGATGGACACACTGTTCTCAAGTGCATTTGCAAAAGCAAGGCTGCTGCTTTTACTCGGTCTCTCTGCAGTCCTGCTGGTGAAGGAATCCTTTGTGCTCCTGAGAGTGGATCCCAAAGTAATGAGCTGCATTTGCTTCCTTTCTGGCCCATGAATACTTGTGGCCTGAGAGAACTTTTACTCATAATCACCAGAGCCGACATGCTGAGAACAGCGGGCACTCCTTGTGGACCTACTCTGAGGGCTTTCAACCTCTCCGCTAAACTTCTTCTCGGGAGGGGCTCCCCCCATTAACAAATTGGAAAGAGCTGTCCTTGGCTCAGGGTGGGTCAAACCCGAGGAAGCAGGGAGGAATGAAACCCTCTCCAGTCTCTCTTCCCAGAGTGCTTCACGCTGCAGCTCCCAAAGCAGAGGAGGCTCACCATCCAGAGCTGCTCAGGGCCAACTGTCAGTGCTTTGGGACTTCAACCAGGGGCTTCCTAGCAGGGAAAGTTTGATTTCCAAGCCTCTGTTGATCTCATGAGTACAAAAGATGCCCCCGAATGGGCAGGAAATACACAGAGCAGAAAACAGATCCCTGGGCAATTGTTGTGTGGTATCCCCGCTGCCTCCTGGTCCTCCCAGAGGCAAGCCCTGGGCAAGCGGGCTTGTGGCCCATGTGCCCACACTGGGGGCGGTGCTGTGGTAGATGCACAGCCCTTACGCTGTGAACGGCTTTTCCAGGGCTGGTGGAGGTGGGGTGGCCCTTACATACCTCCCCCTTATTACTAGTCTTGAGACCAGCAGATGCATTTGAGGGACGGGCCCATAGCTCAGGGGATGGTCTGAGGCCAAGTCTGGGACAGAGGGAATGAATTCCCACCAATGCCAGTCCCGAACACTGGGCTGTGAATGACAATGTTTTATTTTATGTTCTTTGATGCCAAAAGTAATGCATGCTCCTTGCAGAAAATTTGTAAAAAGTCTAAAAACAAAGAAGAAAATCATGTTTACATGGATAGCATCTTTTTAACTTTTTATTTTGAAAGATACTAATGTAATGTATTTAATGAATACTTGTATGTACAAACCAACTCCACAAAATGAAACCAAACTACCACCAGGATCATGCTGTAGACACAGTTTTGGATTCTCTTTTTTCCTACATTTTAAACTAATAATCAATTTCATGGAAAAGGATGACACACAATAGTATATACAGTATGGCCACAGTTTTAGTAAATATTTAAATAAACAGATAAAAATTTAGAAGGAAATACATCAGAAAAGCAGCAAGCATTAACCCTGGGAGGCAGAAGTATAGGTGATCTTTCTATTAAAAACAAATTTATTGATGATGAAAAACCACCGCTGAAACAATACCAATGCTGGTGAGGAAGTGAAACAATGGAATTCTCATGTACTGCCTCTATCTAGGCCTTTAGTAGTATTAGGAAGAAGACAGCTACCAGAGCATTCACTGAAGCATTGTTGTTTTTTTAATAGTAAAAATAATTAAAACTTCAAACAGCCCATATGACCATTAGTAGGGGACTAGATAAATAGAGCTATTTATTCAACAGAATATTATACAGAGTGAAATGGAATAACTAGAACTATAAGAATAAACATAAATTTCAAAAAAAATTTATAGATTTTCTACAGGGAATACTTATTACTTTTGTAATTAGAAAAGATTTAAAAACAGTTTTCCATGCTATAACATCAGTTCAAGATTTTTCTTCTGTTTTTTTTTTTAGGTTTCATTTTCTTGCCCATTTATCCATAATTTATTTTGCATATAATGTGAAAAAACATTCTTAAAAAGAACTTGGTCAGGGCTTCCCTGGTGGCGCAGTGGTTGAGAGTCTGCCTGCCGATGCAGGGGACACGGGTTCGTGCCCCGGTCTGGGAAGATCCCACATGCCGCGGAGCGGCTGGGCCCGTGAGCCATGGGCCCATGAGCCTGCACGTCCGGAGCCTGTGCTCCGCAACGGGAGAGGCCACAGCAGTGAGAGGCCCGAGTACCGCAAAACAAACAAACAAACAAACAAAACTTGGTCAATTCTCCAAATCCAATCTGTTGAATAAACCTTCTCTTCCCTATTGGTTTGTGATTTTTCTTTTACAATATATTATATTAGGGATGGTTTCAGAACTATTCACTACAAAGATACTCAAAATGCCTGTCTGTGATGAGCTGAAGAACGGGCCAGAATATGAATTAACACACTGCTTCCTTCATTGAGAAATTCTTGCTACCAAAAAAATGGTCAGTCTTACACGAATATGTGCTTAGTGACACAGGTGATGTACCTACTGAGCTCCTTATCTTGGCCTAGAGACAGTTCCTAGGCCAGCCTCAGGTCTACGGACCACTCTGAAGAGCACTGGTCCATTTTGTTCTGTTGACCTCTGTCTTGGTTCTTGTGCAGGCATCACAGATTTGTTGTAGCTTACTATCTGTCACTCCTATTGTAACCCTGTGCTGCTAGTCAACCTGAGGGAAGGGAAGGCCCATCGGGGTCTGAGAATCAAGTAGCATAAAAGATGTATTCCTGGGGCCCATCTGGCCCCTGTGTCCTGGGATTCCCATGCTTCTAATGAACCTACTCCATTTCTAACAGATGTGCCTTTTGGCAGAAGCAGAAAGGAGCTTCCTGCTTGTTCCTCAGAAGGGATCCTATTAAGACTCATATCGCAAGACAGAGGTCACAGAAGGAAGATAATTACTTCTTTATTTTAGCTGGCTGGGCCAGCATGCCTTGTCCTGTGACCCAGCTGCAGTGGGAAGCATTCCAAAATCTCCGCATGGCAGTTGTACAGGATGCCTGGGAGATGAAAGGACATTGGACACAAATGTTCTGGGCAGAAGCTGTTACAAATTCCACTTTAAAAAAAAATGAGGAAGTCCAGCCTTCCTGGAGCAATCAGGATGCTTATTTATAGCGGCCTGGGCCCCTGCCAGCAATTCCATATAGATGGGAGTGGGGCCATCCTGCTCAGCAGGGAGGAAAAGAAACTTACCACCCCCAGTTCTACGTAGTGTTTTTGCCTTCCTGCTCTTTTTAGGGTAGTAAAAATACCTAATATTTGCATGGCAAATACAATGGTTTCTTTACGTGACACAGGTCAGGTCAAGAGCTGGCCTTTGGGAAGCATGTGGAGAAAGTCTGAACACAGGCTGGGAAGTGGCAAGGCCCTGGCACACAAGGCCACCACGCAGGGCCAGCTGTCGCTCTCAGCCCACCCCCTTCCTGCCCCTCCTCTGGAGAGCTGTTGTTGCTGACCTTCCCGTGAAATAACTGAAACAAGCCTCCTCTCCCGCTCTGAGAGCTGGTGAGGTTGCCATGCCACCATGGCACCCGGAGTGAGTGCTGGGTGGTCATGGTGCCCGTGGATGGCAGGCCTGTCTCCAGCCCACCCCCATCCTCATATACACACAGAGGAAGACCTGGGGACTCTGTGGTGTCTCATCCCCATCATGCCTCGTCCAGCCCTGGCACTTCCAAGGAAGTGGACAGGAAGTGATGCTACTTCACATTAGCCTTTACCCACAGAAAGGGTTCTGTTGACATTATTTTGAAATAACAACACTGACACAGCATACACATTCATGTATAAAACCATCCGAACATCAGCAGGTGTTTTACTGTCCCTTACAAGTATCTTAGCGTCCCTTACAAGAAGTGTTCCCACACTTCCAGATTATTTGTAGATTTTCAGTTGTTGTTGCTGTTGTTGTTGTTCCTTGGCTGCACTGCGTGGCTTGTGTGATCTTAGTTCCCCAACCAGGGATTGAACCTGCACCCTTGGCAGGGAAAGCGTGGAATCCTAACTGCTGGTCCGCCAGGGAATTCCCAAGATTTACAGTTTCGTTGAAATTAATGAATACAGCATATATGTACAGCAAAACAATATAGCTACAATATTTTACCACCATTTTTACTAAGAAAAATGGGTTTATGGTGGTAGACTATACTTCAAGATTAGAGTTACTTCAGAAACTTAAGAGAGACAAAGGGTCACCTTGTTGTGACCCTCACAATTAAAGTACTGATGGAAGACTTGGAGATGACAAGAGGTAAAAGCCGGAGGCAAAAACCAAGATAGATAAATCACTGTTGAAACTGTAAAAATGGCCAGAGAAATAGAAATGGAGATCTTATCACCACATTTTAAATAACTTGTATTTTGGACAAGAGGCTCATCTCAAAGCAGCACAAAAAAACAGAAAGAGAGGAGAAATCACTCAAATGCCCATCAGTGGATGACTGTTTAATAACCTATGGAATATTCACTGGGTAGGACACCATATAGCTGTTAAAAAAGAACAGGGTCAGGGATTCCCTGGTGGCGCAGTGGTTGAGAGTCCGCCTGTCGACGCAGGGGACGCAGGTTCGTGCCCCGGTCCGGGAAGATCCCACATGCTGCGGAGCAGCTGGGCCCGTGAGCCATGGCCGCTGAGCCTGCGCGTCCGGAGCCTGTGCTCCGCAATGGGAGAGGCCACAACAGTGAAAGGCCCGCGTACCGCAAAAAAAAAAAAAAAAAAAAAAAGAACAGGGTCGGCCTGTAAGTGTTGATATAGAACGACTCTATACACTCCATATGGTAAGAGAGAAATATTTCACATACATGCATGGAGTTCTGTCAAATCAACTATCCAACTGGCAGTGGAGGTGCCTGGGGAGAGCAACTGAGCATAGGGGTGAGGATGGGAGGGAACTTAGGACACACCCTTTGTAAGAACTGAAGGTTTTACAATATGCATATAGATGTACTTTTCAATGAAAA